CCACTGTGTACACAAACCAGGTGTTTCAGTTGCTAACAGTTCGTTTTCTGAGAAAGAGATCACACCATTTGCGCGCACAGACGCAGAGCGAAAACTCCAACGGACTGACAGGATGTTTCTGAAAATATGAAAAAGATCCCCCCTTCCCCCCTCACTCCCATCAATGCAGGCGCGTTCAATCCGCCCTACGACCCACCTGACGACCGCGTTTAAAGTCAAAGAGTTATCAGGCAACTTAAACACACCGTGTCACGGCAGCATACAACTTGCCTAGCTACAGGCCGATAGCGTTGCTCATTGACAAATTCAGCCGGATACACTACCTAGTTTATCACTGCACGCGCGGTTTCGCGGTGTGGTTTATTTTGATCTATACATCGTACATGAGAATTTTAAACGAAGCTGACTGCTGTTTGGATGTGACGATCACCATTTCTTAGGACTTATCTCAACAGCATGTGCTTGGACGTTATAGTAAATGGACGTCGCGTCAAAACAAATTTGGAGGGGATAATCAGCTGAGTGTCACAGTACTGTCACCGTGTGATACTCGGCATTCCTCACCTGTGTTAACGACCCTCATGCCAAAAGCCAGCTTAATAAGACTTTCCAGCGCCTCCAAGCAGTTACCAAGTTCCCAGGCCCTGGAAGTGAAATTTGAAAGATTTTGTCCCGTTTGGACTACTGTTGAGGTGAGTTTAGTACGAGTGTTGACATATCAGACGTACACATGGCTAGATATAGTATGATAGAGGTACTTCCTCTGTGAAATATCCTGTTACATGTACACGGGGATTGGCATTTGCGACAGCTCGTTGAACGGTTTTTGATCCACTCTCACCCCCTCCCCACCCTTCACTCTTGGGGCTTGGATGGTATTTTAATACTTACTTACTTAACCTCTTCATCCCGCGAGGGACATAAGGTTGCAAACTCTTTCATCAGTGTTAATACTAATGCAATATTACAATATTTTATTGTGTTACGCATTTGTAAGTGGAGCAAAATTTGCGCTGCAAGCGGTCGCGAGCACGGCGTAACATGGATTTAACATTCGGGTCTTTTCAGTAAAAGCTTGATCGGACACGCACGCGCTCTCGTGTGTTATCGCACGCGCATTCATGGGGACAGCTACGTGCAGGGTTGAATCAGTTAACTGAAGCTTAAATATAAGGGCATCGACTCTTTTGACGCCCGTCTTAAATGTCTCTACGTCTACCTCTTGTATGCTGCCCTCGTTGCTATAGGCGTGTGCGTGTGTGTGTGTGTGTGTGTGCGTGCGTGCATGTGTGCGTCATGAAAAAATGATACAATACAGATATCATTTAACAAACGTTAATTAGGCTGTTTTCTCAGAGGTCATTTATATTGCATATTGTACAATGAAGTGTATATATGGTGTTAAAGAAGAAATGTAATTTGGATTGACTATCGACAGTATTTGATTTTTTAAATTAAATCTTCAAAAGATTTTAAGTGAATTCAATTCATTTGTCTGAGAAAATCACATATAAGGACGAAGTTAGCTGTTTCACCTCAGCTTACAATGACATTGGCTTCTCAGTACCGTAAGTAGTAAACTTAGCAAACACTTCAAGTAATGCAAATGAATATTTAATCAAATCGCAATAATTATTTTGTCCATCAATTACAACATCAAACACTACAGAACAAATTGTTATTTCATTACATTATTTGTCAGTGTTATTCAAGACATCAATATGCATCCAAAATGACAAGGACTTAGGATATAAAATAAAACAAACAATACAAAGTCACCTTAAAATAAAAAAGACAAATATTTATCATTCAGGCATCCTGTAGTTTTATTAGTTTTACATTGTGACAAAAATGTGCTTTGTCGATCGTAACACTCACAAAGAGTAGTTCGTCTTATGTATTATTTCATTTTTTCTATCGATTGCAATGGGACTGTGTTTTTGAAGATGTGACACGTTTTAAATATTAAAACAAACGCCTATCTATCTTTCCATCCGTATCGTACCATCCGTCTATCCATTCATCCATCCGTCCGTCCATCCGTCTATCTGTGTGTCTGTCTGTCTGTTTATCTATCTATCTATCTATCTATCTATCTTATATTGTGCAACTACTATCATCACGCATAGCTCGATTTGGGTCTGCTAAGGTTACTTGTGTTTGATAGCCCGGATTTTACTCTCCATAGGGCAGCCCTCTGAAATCTTAGAAAAATTGAGCTAAGATGTCATTAAATTCTGCCTCTTGTCCGATAACTTTTTCTGAAACCTCTTCCGTCTCTTGGACAATACAACTATTGAAAAGGGTTGTAATTAAAGATAATTATTTTATTAGAATTTCCTCTTTTAGCCGGAGGAGGCACGGAGAAAGGTATAAATCCTTTATCTTCGCACGGATTATCGACGTTTTTGCCATTTATTCCATGGCTTTCTCAGATGTGTTATCAGAGAATCGATCCCTTAAGTCGCAGTTTGTGCTATTCCAGCGTGCCTTACACTTGTCCTTTCTGTTGAAGTCACTTTCAAGGGCAGGGTTATCACAATTGAATGCTGCCTTTAGATGCCCTTACAAGCAACTTTGATTCTGTCGAACAGATTGTAATTTGGCGGCCATATTAGAAACGCCCCTTATTATCCATGTTAAATATTGATTAGCAGCGATGGTTTGTACGTTATGGTTATTCTACTGCGTTTTTCTTTACAGTGGCAAAATCAAACCATGTTTCACGATCTCAAGGGATTGTACCATCAATCAAAAAATGTTTACGTTTCACCAGCGGTCAATGTCTGTAAATACCGTACGTTACTTATATACATGTACACGTAGAAGGTACTCGAAACTGTTTTGCCTTCTTAATAGGTTTTCGAACATTGAACATTGTGAAGTGAGTATGTTATCATTATTTTAAAGCTTCCGTGATAAAAAGTTGAATTTGACTAGCATGATTTAAAAAACAGAACTCTTTTGATAAAGAAATAATCCTTAATCTATGCAGGCGTGAAGATCCTGTTAAATGTAATTATTCCGTTATTCATGGTCTTTACAAGAAATACGAACAAATTTATGTAGAAACCATGAAATAAATGAAGGATACAGGAATTATAAAGGAGCATTTTGATATACAAAAAACTGAAATAATCGAATTAATCTTTAAAAATACTTTTAAGTGTGCATGAAACACACGTTCCTCATTAAACTTAATATAGCAATAGACAGCTCGTTCTCCAAATCCACATGCGCAATTGACCCAGTCGTACTATTCCGTGTTGATCACTCGCTTTAATGACGCAATTTTCATTTAAAACTATGAATTATTTAATTATTCTTCTTAATTTCTGTACATTATACGTGAATGAAGACTCGTATTAGACGTGTTTGTTTATTATATACTGCCTTGGCATACATCGCATTCGGACCGCCCTTATCGTTAAGTCACGCGTTCGTATACTTGGTTAACACCATTGAGTTTGTTGAATGGTTTCTGCGGTTTAGAACAAACACGTTGCATTGAACGGTATGTAGACTCCACTCTTCAAAACTGATGTCATCTGGTTATAATTCACAGGGTTTTTTTCCCTTCTCTTTCCTTCTTCTTTCTGCATTTAGACACCTGCTGCTTGGAGACGTCAGTCAAATCTTCGGGTGTCATGGCAACGTCACGTTTAGCTGCGGGGGAGGACTGGATGTAAATAGAGACAGCATATTTTTCCAGTGTTATTAAAATTACAATTTTGCACTTTGCCGATCAAGGGCGGATGATAATGTCTCGTCTGTTGAAAAGCAATGAAATCCATTTTGTCACACTCTCTCACTCTCTCTCATACAGAATGACACAATCGAGGTGTTTGTTTGCAAAATGTATCATTATTTGACTTTTTTTAAAATAATTTCTTATTTTGTTATCATTATAATAAGTAGCAGTGTTTTCTATTCATTATAATATTATATTCTATAATACATACACGTATATTATTTTTATTATTTATTAATTTATTTGCTAACTGCTGTTACTCTCATTAGAACCGAACTCAGTACAGTTATCTGGAAATCCTGGGCTGTCATTTACTACAAACATTTCACATTCTCCTATCTCATTTTTTTCAATAATTTCTCNTTTTTTTTTTTTTTCTCTCTCTCTCCCCCCCCCCCCCCTCTCTCTCTCTCTCTCTCTCTCTCTCTCTCTCTCTCTCTCTCTCTCTCACACACACACACACACACACACACACACACACACACACACACTTGCGCACGTCTGTCTACGCATAATTTGTTAACACCACAGACCAGCAAATTTCTGTATTGTAATATTGCTTCAAATCCTTTCAAGTTGCAGTTTTTCTATAACCCCTGTATCGACAATTCATCACTCTCTACCTGTGCAAACGATGAAATCGCAAACAGTTCATTACTTTACGCGGAGAAGGCGACGGAGGAAAAACTCTCGCTCTCATACTGATCTATACGCCACGTATCGACGGCAACGATGAAGCAGGAGGCATCATTCACGCGCTCGTAGCGACGGCAACAGTGTAGGAATCACACGTGCGCTGACAGTATACCATTCTTTCTGTGTACATTTCACTCGTTGTTGATTTCATTTTGCGTACATTTCAACCCGTGTTCATTTCATAAAAAAACTTGTTCATTTCATTCCCGGGTTATTTCTGCATGCCAGGTAACTACGCCACGGGAAAACACGCGCTCGGAGAAAACCCTCATCGATCTGATTAATTACAATTGGGACACTACAATAGCTCTGCATTATCATCTCTTTAATTTCCCACTGTGTACACAAACCAGGTGTTTCAGTTGCTAACAGTTCGTTTTCTGAGAAAGAGATCACACCATTTGCGCGCACAGACGCAGAACGAAAACTCCAACGGACTGACAGGATGTTTCTGAAAATATGAAAAAGATCCCCCCTTCCCCCCTCGCTCCCATCAATGCAGGCGCGTTCAATCCGCCCTACGACCCACCTGACGACCGCGTTTAAAGTCAAAGAGTTATCAGGCAACTTAAACACACCGTGTCACGGCAGCATACAACTTGCCTAGCTACAGGCCGATAGCGTTGCTCATTGACAAATTCAGCCGGATACACTACCTAGTTTATCACTGCACGCGCGGTTTCGCGGTGTGGTTTATTTTGATCTATACATCGTACTTGAGAATTTTAAACGAAGCTGACTGCTGTTCCGACGTGACGATCACCATTTCTTAGGACATATCTCAGCACCATGTGCTTGGACGTTATAGTAAATGGACGTCGCGTCAAAACAAGTTTGGAGGGGATAAACAGCTGAGTGTCACAGTACTGTCACCGTGTGATACTCGCCGTTCCTCACCTGTGTTAACGACCCTCATGCCAAAAGCCAGCTTAATAAGACTTTCCAGCGCCTCCAAGCAGTTACCAAGTTCCCAGGCCCTGGAAGTGAAATTTGAAAGATTTTGTCCCGTTTGGACTACTGTTGAGGTGAGTACAGTATATGTATTGACATATCAGTACACATGGCTAGATATAGTATGATAGGGGAACTTCCTCTGTGAAATATCATGTTACATGTACACGGGGATTGGCATTTGCGACAGCTCGAAAAACGGTTTTTGATCTACTCTCACCCCCTCCCCACCCTTCAATCTTGGGGCTCGGACGATGTTTTGATACTTACTGAATTATCCTCTTCATCCCGTGAGGGAAATAAGGATTGCAGACAATTTTTGATAATCGACAACAAACTCAATCATCAGTATTAATACTAATGTAATATTACAATCTTTTATTGTGTTACGCATTTGTGAGTTGACCAAAATAAATTTGCTCTCCAAGCGATCGCGAGCACTGCGTATCATGGATTTAACGTTCGGGTCTTTTCAGTAAAAGTTTGATTGGACACGCACGTGCTCTCGTGTGTTGTTGCACTTGGGACAGCTATGTGTAGGGTTAAACCAGTTAACCGAAGCTTAAATACAAGAGCATCGACGATTTTGACTCCCGTCTTAAATGTCTCTACGTCTACCTCTTGTATGCTGCCCTCGTTACTACAGGTGTGTGTGTGTGTGTGTGTGTGTGTGTGTGTGTGTGTGTCATGAAAATATGATACAATACAGATATCATTTAACAAACGTTAATTCGGCTGTTTTCACAGAGGTCATTTTTACTGCATATTGTACAATGAAGTGTATATATATGGTGTTAAAGAAGAAATGTAATTTGGATTGACTATCGACAATATTTGATTTTTTTAAATTAAATATTCAAAGACTTCAAGTGAATTCAATTCATTTGTCTGAGAAAATCACATATAAGGACGAAGTTAGCTATTTCACCTCAGCTTACAATGAAATTGGTTTCTCAGTACCGTAAGTAGTAAACTTAGCAAACACTTCAAGTAATGCAAATGAATATTTAATCAAATCGCAATAATTATTTTGTCCATCAATTACAACATCAAACACTACAGAACAAATTGTTATTTCATTACATTATTTGTCAGTGTTATTCAAGACATCAATATGCATCCAAAATGACAAGGACTTAGGATATAAAACATAACAAACAATACAAAGTCACCTTAAAATAAAAAAGACAAATATTTATCATTCAGGCATCCTGAGGTTTTATTAGTTTTTCATTGTGAAAAAAATGTGCTTTGTCGATCGTAACACTTACAAAGAGTGTTTCGTCTTATGTATTATTTCATTTTTTCTATCGATTGCAATGGGATTGAGCTTTTGAAGATGTGACACGTTTTAAATATTAAAACAAACGTTTATCTAGCTTTCCATCCGTATCGTACCATCTGTCCATCATTCATCCATCCATCCATCCGTCCATCTGTCTGTCTGTCTACACACACTGGACAATAAAAGTGTCACCCCCTGAATAAGTGTAATCAAAGTTATAATGCCTGGTCTATTTATAATGTGACATGAGTATAAAACCGCTGTACCATGGGATTGTATTGTTGGTCTTTTTGTGAAATTTGATGTTAATAAAATGATACCAGGAGCATATCATTCCACAGTCATTTATCTCCCCCAAAGTACTGGTTCAGTAGGGGTGACACTTCTATTGTCCAGTGTGTGTATCTATCTATCTATCTATCTATCTCATATTGTGCAACTACAATCATCACACATAGCTCGATTTAATTACCACCATGTTAATGAGTCTGCTAAGGTTACTTGCGTGTGATGGCCCAGAGTTCATTGACCATAGGGCAGCCCTCTGAAATCTTAGAAAAATTGAGCTAAGATGTCATTATATTATGCCTCTTGTCCGAGAACTTTTTCTGAAACCTCTTCCGTCTCTTGGACAATACAGCTATTGAATAGGGTTGTAATTAAAGATAATTATTTTATTAGTATTTCCTCTTTTAGCTGGAGGGGGCACGGAGAAAGGTATAAATCCTTTATCTTCGCACGGATTATCGACGTTTTTGCCATTTATTCCATGGCTTTCTCAGATGTGTTATCAGAGAATCGATCCCTTAAGTCGCAGTTTGTGCTATTCCAGCGTGCCTTACACTTGCCCTTTCTGTTGAAGTCACTTTCAAGGGCAGGGTTATCACAATAAAATGCTGCCTTTAGATACCCTTACAAGCAACTTTGATTCTGTCGAACAGATTGTAATTTGGCGGCCATATTGGAAACGCCCCTTATTATCCTTGTTAAATATTGATTGTCAGCGATGGTTTGTACGTTATGGTTATTCTACTGCGTTTTTCTTTACAGTGGCAAAATCAAACCATGTTTCACGATCTCAAGGGATTGTACCATCAATCAAAAAATGTTTACGTTTCACCGGCGGTCAATGTCTGTAAATACCGTACGTTACTTATATACATGTACACGTAGAAGGTACTCGAAACTGTTTTGCCTTCTTAATAGGTTTTCGAACATTGAACAATGTGAAGCGAGTATGTTATCATTATTTTAAAGCTTCCGTGATAAAAAGTTGAATTTGACTAGCATGATTTAAAAAACAGAACTCTTTTGAAAAACAAATAATCTTTCATCTATGCAGGCGTGAAGATCCTGTTGAATGTAATTATTCCGTTATTCATGGTCTTTACAAGAAATACGAACAAATTTATGTAGAAACCATGTAATAAATGAAGGATACAGGAATTATAAAGGAGCATTTTGATATACAAAAAACTGAAATAATCGAATTAATCTTTAAGAAGACTTTTAAGTGTGCATGAAACACACGTGCCTCAATAAACTTAATATAGCAAAAGACAGCTCGTTCTCCAAATCCACATGCGCAATTGACCCAGTCGTACTATTCCGTGTTGATCACTCGCTTTAATGACGCAATTTTCATTTAAAAATATGAATTATTTAATTATTCTTCTTAATTTCTGTACATTATACGTGAATGAAGACTCGTATTAGACGTGTTTGTTTATTATATACTGCCTTGGCATACATCGCATTCGGACCGCCCTTATCGTTAAGTCACGCGTTCGTATACTTGGTTAACACCATTGAGTTTGTTGAATGGTTTCTGCGGTTTAGAACAAACACGTTGTATTGAACGGTATGTAGACTCCACTCTTCAAAACTGATGTCATCTGGTTATAATTCACAGGGTTGTTTTCCCTTCTCTTTCCTTCTTCTTTCTGCATTTAGACACCTGCTGCTTGGAGACGTCAGTCAAATCTTCGGGTGTCATGGCAACGTCACGTTTAGCTGCGGGGGAGGACTGGATGTAAATAGAGACAGCATATTTTTCCAGTGTTATTAAAATTACAATTTTGCACTTTGCCGATCAAGGGCGGATGATAATGTCTCGTCTGTTGAAAAGCAATGAAATCCATTTTATCACACTCTCTCACTCTCTCTCTCATACAGAATGACACAATCGAGGTGTTTGTTTGCAAAATGTATCATTATTTGACTTTTTTAAAATAATTTCTTATTTTGTTATCATTATAATAAGTAGCTCAGTGTTTTCTATTCATTATAATATTATATTCTATAATACATACACGTATATTATTTTTATCATATTAATTTATTTGCTAACTGCTGTTACTCTCATTAGAACCGAACTCAGTACAGTTATCTGGAAATCCTGGGCTGTCATTTACTACAAACATTTCACATTCTCCTAACTCCTTTTTTTCAATAATTTCACTTTAATCTATATATAGCTCTTTTCTATAAAATAACATAGATTTTGCCTGACAGTAAATCGAATACATAATATAACACGATGACTAGCATAAAGGACCACGCTATTTAAACTAAGTGAAGCTAATACATATCCGCAAAATGTTAAGCCCGTGTTAATTATCACTTTCATGGAACTCTCCCCTTTCCAATTTTCGTCTTTATAATTATTCTGGGAACTGTCCTCTGTGAGCCATCAATTTTTTTTCTTTCTTTTTGGTTCAAGGCCCACAACATTATACATTGTATAATGCCAATACATTGAAGCAACCACGGGGAAGCCGGCGACTTTGCACTCGGTAAAACCCAGTCGGGTGATCTTTGAAACATGCACCGCGGTTTACCCGTACTAGGGGGACTTCAAGTAAGTGTATAAGTTAACGGGACTATAGTACTGCATCCACTGCCAAGCATGGCTACCTAATTTATTCCGTGTACGGCGAGCGTGAGTCAATAAACCGTGCGTATTGACACTAGGCGCCCTTGGGTTTAAAGGACTCACAAAGTGTATGGACTCAAGGAAAGCGGCCGTTTCTCGGATCGACTGTTTGAAAATGAGAAGGGATCGTGCGACTTAAGAACGGATTGGGTTACTGGCTTGGATCGGACTTGAATCCAGCTTTGTGTTTCTTCAGTAGGGTCGGGCGTGAGAGTGGACTGGCGTTCTAAAGTCGAAATCTTATAGAGAGGTATTTTGTTTAGTTTTACAGGACCAAAGACGCAGGAGACGGAAGCTAATTAAAATCACAGTAATTCTATACACTGAATAACTGAATGCGGCACTTTTCATATGTTCCACATGTGTTTACCGCTGTAGAATTAGGTCATGACGTTATGTTTTTTGTTTTTCCAGGTTAAAGTGAAAAGTGATCAAGCACGTGTCTAACCCCGGGAACAAGGCACTAGAGGAAGTTTCTCGATAGAAACAACAACACAGGGGGAAAAAGGAAATACAAATTGCAATATAAAAATACTCTGTAAAAGGCAACTGGGCAAGAACCGCCAACTGCCGCAATTGACAGCAATACTGAAAACGTTCCTGGGTTAACAATCTACACCAACTGAGAATATATAAGCCCTTGATTTCAGTGTTATGTCTGCTTTAATGGTACGTAATGGGAGGTCGTAGACAGGTGGAACACGAGGAAAAAATCCCATCCGGTATATATTATTGACTCTCAGCCGAACGAGACCAAGGCAACGCAAGACGGAACAGTATCCATGCGTTGTGGAACAGAGTGAGATCTGTATAACCTGTCCCTGGCCCCGGCCCGAGTCTGGAAGCAAAAATACTGGTGTTACCCTGATTATCCCGTCATTTTCGAAATTTTATAATGTTAATGGTGCTCCACTAACCACATCTTGGCATAGACTTTGTATGCTGGGTTTAATTATTAGCAACAATTCTGGAGGCCGACAAAAATTGAGGTTCTGAGGCTCGAAGCAACATCCGCAAGAATAATGCGTTAAGTCTGCCGCCTAACAGTTAAGTTCGTCGTGGTGAAAAACAGTTCTACCTCCCCGAAGATGACTTAAAGTAAGACGTGATTCTCTCAGGGGTCGCTTTTGCCCCGTTAAGGTGAGAGTGCCTGAGCGACGGCTGAGGTGAAACCAACACGTGCGAGCCCTCCTTCTTCCTCCCTCGCGCCAACTGCCGTCCATCAGCTTTTTAAACTCCTCCTCCTCTCTTGGACTCGCTTCTCCGGGCGGGGTAGCAACAACGTAGAGAAGCAATAAACAACAAACAAATAAACAACAGAAGGGAAAGGCAATAATTCACCTCCCAGATGGAGTCGAGAACCAATTCTGGAAATCCGTTACTCCAGTCGAGGACAAACTCGGGGAACTCTCTGAAGTCACGCACTAATTCTGGAGCCTCTCTGGTCACGCTGGACCAACAGGCGGTTGAACGGAATGAGACCTTGGATCGGATTTTTGAAGGAACTTTGCAGAACTTGCCAGCGCTTAAATCGAAAATCGTCCGGATTTTCACAAGTTCGACATTCACAGGTGAGTGGACGGTGAGGGTTTGAATGATCGACAATGAAAGTTAATATTCTAAAATCTCTCTCTCCCTCCCTCCCTCTCTCTCTCTCTCTCTCTCTCTCTCCACTACTCAAGGCGATCAGCTGGCATTAGAACCGCATTATAGTAGACCACGCGCTGCGTTTCCCCATTAATGAAAACATTCCACGGCAGTTTTTATTCAACACCGGGGCGCGTATAAATTCCCTTTTAGGAGTGTTTTCAATAAGAAAATACCGCAAAGCTGTCTTCGAACTCCACCTACAAAAATCCACCGTCCATATACTGTATGGCCCACCATGCCGTATGATGTCTGTGTGCTGTGATTTATTTGATTATATCTGAGTAAAATGATTTGTGTAAGACCGAAAAACTATAAACAAGATCAGAATGAATTTCCTCAGTTGAACGCAGGTGAGGCATGTAATATATATTGTGAAATTGTCCCAATTTGCAAACAAGACCAGTCACTGACACCTGAAAAATTGGAAAAGCGCTTTTCTATATGTGTAGCTTAAATTGAAACCTAATACCCCAGTATGATTCTCTTTTAATGCTACGCTGTGACTTACGAAACGCTGCTCTAATATGTGTACATAAAGATCACATCAAGTCTTATCTTCTTGAATGACGTACCACCTCTTGTCAACATAACTTAAGTAAATTATCTCTTTAATACTACATGTCCCTTAGCATCGGCTTTCTTCTTCTTATCCACGACAAGGGCCCCCCTCCAAAAAGTCTCATTGACGCCCTGTGGATACTTATGAATGGTTTTCACGTACTCTGTGGCTGGGCTCCAACTGAAAATCTTGTAGTCGACAAAACATGGATGGTTTTGATGTATAGCGTCAGTAAATACCATCAGCTTTCTCGAGTTGTGATTGAAAACACGGTGTTGAGAAGTTATTCAACGATGGATCCGAGGAGGAGTACAGTGTCCCCCTCCCTCTGATTTGGAAGTACGTATTTCCCCCCTATTTTTTTCGCTTGAAAGAGGGTATGAAAAAACGAAACGAAATGAACCCCCTCCTCCCACTCTTCTTCCTCCTCCTCTTCCTTCTCACAGCTTCAATAACAAAAATAATAAATGAAAAACAATATGAATGATAATGAAAATAACGATGATGATGATGATGATGATGCTTTATATTAATAGGCTCTCTAAACTACTGCCGCTATACAATGTGCATGATAAATTTCTCGTATACATGCAACTTAATGTACATATATCTTACATTAAGAAAAAAATGAAAGCGTACTGAAATCGACACGCAGAATGCTAACAGAAAGACATTTTATCGAGATAGAATTTGTCAAACTGAAATAAAGTTATAAGACAGACATTCTTTTGTAGAGGAGTTGCTTCGAGCGCAGGGAAAGCGACCTATAGAAAAAATTGCCTTTTCTTTCCATTGCCTCCGTTGCCCTTTCAAACCTAAAAACACGGGTAACGTTTCTCTTTAAATTTCAACCATTACACCCTGAGTGTCAGGACCACGTCTCATTTTTCTTGAAAAATATCCATTTTATGAAACACACCACGTTATATAGGCAGCAAACCTGGGATTTTTCGCTGAAAACCAGGGTGTGGTTTTCACTCGCAGGTCATTTCTCAACCACAACTGTTATACTACATGTCGTATTTTAGCGTTTAAATATATAGTCGACCCCACGGAGTGTTGGAGAATGTAGAGTAAGACACAGTGTGTTTCCAAACTATCCTGAGTGCATCTAACTTTGCATTTCAAATGGCGTTTTAACGAAACGATTTATGTCAGTCGGTTTTTACGTCGCAGGCCAGGTCCCGGCGCGCTTACAGCTTATTCAACTGATTCCAGCTTCTGCAATGCAGATGGAATCACTGGCTTAATTGCTTTATATTAAGTTCAAAACTCTAAATTTAGGTAGGAATTCTTTTCGGTGACGCCAGTTGGACTACTACCAGTTCTGGAACGCCTCTAGAGACAATTCAAACAGAGCTCGAGTGACGCAGGGGCCAAGTTTTGTCTCAGTTGGCTTTTACCATTTTTACCTTAGATTTTGTTACTAAATGGACGACAGATGATGCTCACTATAACATAAAAAAAGAATAAAGAAATTACGCAGTAGAAGAAACAGTTTGATTTTAATTAAAAAAAAGTGGCTACTAAACTAGTCATTTAGGGAGATCTCGAACCGAACTTCTTGTTCCACGTGTGAACTCATCACAGATGCATGAAAAAATTTTATTACAATATAGTTTACAAAATATGTTTTGTTCCTAAGGGGAATCAAAGGCAGCAGCCAATAAAGCAAAATTATAGGTAATAAAAGAACGTTACCGCGATTAGAACCAGTTGTTTTTTACCCCCTTGAATATAAATTTTATGTAATATGTATGCGCCGGATATTATAACGCGAAACGGGAGGCTGAGAAAAACCTCCCGCAAAGCTTGGAGAATAAATGATACGTTCTAACGCAAGAAGGTCTTATAGAATTGCTGGATTGATTTTTAATCTTTCATTTGCATGCACTGCGATATGAATTGCCTTCATGGTGAAAAGGGACTTTGGTTTAGCGTTAAATAAAATGGTTTAACGAGCCCATGCCGCTTTTGATTAGCCCGGGGTTGTGTAGGACGTTTTAATGGGCCTGAGCACCTCCCCCGCGTTGACGAGTACTTTCTGTTTAAAAGTGCGACGAACGGTTTGCCCTAGTTACTCTACGGATGTCACTCTTTTGTCTTTAATGTCAATATTGTCAAATATTGAAGAACGTGTACATAGATAAGTTGCTGTTTGCCTATGATTAACGGGGGATACAATTTTTACAACTGGAAATAAGCTCAAATAATTACTGCTGCTTATATCCAGAGTCATTGCTTTGCCTCGTTTATTTTCGTTTTGGCAATTCTTTCTTTGCACTTAACGTCATTTCATATTAGCACTTTTTTATATATTCTCTCCTTTTCACTTTTTTTATTTTGCTGTTTCAGATTTAACAAATTTGATTTCCCATTTCTCTATCCGACCTTTCATCTCTCTCTCTCTCTCTCTCTCTCTCTCTCTCTCTCATTTAAAAAATAATTCAGCTCAATATTGCAACGTTAACTTTACTTACTTAGACCCCCGGAGTGTCAATTAACGAAGTTCTAATGGGCGCGTGATACGTCCCCACAACGCTTTAAGAGACCCAGAGAAAATCAAGGACATACACTTAATGTGCAGGGCACTTATCCAATCGATTAGATTTACTAAATCAGGGTGACGAGTATTCATTTCACACGACAGTGGGAAATTGAAGGGTTTTTCACTGGATTAGAGTAATGTTTTAGTTAGAAAAATAACATAGTGGCTGTTTTATTTACTCCTACGCGCTATTGTTTTTTCTTTTCTTTCTTTCTTCTTTTTCATTCTTAGTTTGAGAATTTTTTCTTGCAAGTTGTCGATCTATTTCTATTGAGCATAACACTCGACTAATACATGTAATCACAACGTTAAGTTGTTTGTTTCAGTAACAAATTTAAGCCTGGTTCTATTAAAATCGATGCAAATAAAAAAAACTTTTGTGGTAAGCGGTGTGGATTTCATGCCAGCATTGAGAGTACCTTAATTTGGTACGTTATTGACAATTATTTTAAATTATTAGTTCTCGAAAATCCGGTTCAAAAAGATCACCCCTTAAGGCAACTGTTCCGTCCTATCAGAATAAACACTCATTTCAGGACATAAAATGGGCCTTCAAATAAATCATGTATTTTTAAAAGTTATTACAAGTTTATTGAATTTATTTCACCAATTCGTGTGTCGTCACATACAATCATTATGTATGACAGTGATCAAACTATTAGAACACCTCGAAGACAACAGTGTAAGGGTCACGATAAATTCAGCTTCTGTACACTAACTCCACGAAAATGCGATCAGATTAGCAGACTTACACGTCTCCTCTTTCTTGCAACGCACTCATATAATCACCAGCTACTCTACTCAACGCCAGGAGTTAGTCTGTTAACCTGATTGCTTTCAGCGGGAGTTAGTGCAGAGAGACTGGTGCGATAGATTCATTGTGATCGCACCCTTAACCATTTTGGACGCAGGTGTGGGACCCTTGTCCCATTAACAGTGGCGTTGTTAAATCGCCCGTTCTCCGAGTGATTATCACTGTATTGACATTTGATATGAGATAATCCAGGTAATCCCTAGCATACTGATATCACGCTATGTCCTAATCTCAGACCTCACGGCTCGCTTTGTTGACAGATTTCAAAGTAATTATTGGTCGCCTACACTACTAAATACAAGTGACCCCCATCTCGCTCGCTCTCAATTATTAAAAAAAATTGAAGCGAAATGCGAGACAAAAATCAAAATATAATTTAATTTAATTATTATTATTATCACTATTTCAGACACCACTCTTGAGCGCAATGCATTCATGGAAGAGGTCTACCCCAGACTTAAGGAGTACTGCAGAGAAAAACATGGACTCGAGTTTCAGGTAACTCAATCTCTCTCTTCCTCTCTCTCTCTGATGCATACGATGTGTCCTTCAGCGATGGTGTTTCATCGATCTGTTTTATTTTTATTTATTTATTTTTTTTATTTCAACGTTTTTTTTCTTGTAATATTTTTGCTTCTAGTTGCCCCAGGTGATATGTATAATCAAGAGTTCACAGCGTTCTCTCTCTCTCTTTCTCTCTCTCTCTCTCTCTCTCTCTCCTCGAGCTGGCCAAGAGCCAGATAACTTCTGATCATTCTTTGGTATCGCAATCAGTGCAAATTCTGAAAACTACAAAACGGTAGGCGTAATGCTACAATAATTCAGGAAGCAAAGTCTGACACGAGCCTAACCCCAATAAACCAGACTTTTCTCTTACTTCTTTGAAGTAAGAATCTAAATACGAGCTCCCTGGGCGATCAATACGTCCTCACGGTCTCTCCATTCCTAGTTCAATACAAGTCTCGGAATCTATATTTCTCGGCGGACTATTTAAGACATCACGTGACCTATTCGTTCTCCTCGCCTCTAGTCTAATCAATGCGTTAGACAAATATGCAAATGTTTGAAGAAGTAAAATTATTGATTCTGCGCGACAGAATTTGAATTATTCTATGTGGAGATTCAACATTCACTAGAACGCGTTCACATGCTCGAGATTTCAGGACGTTTATTTTTGTAGCTTCATGACAGGGTTAAGTTTGAACGATGGCTTACCATATTTTTTTCTTATCGAATTTAAGGTACAAGTGTTATAAAAAAGTAGCTAGGATAAAAAAAGGCCATGCAGGGCTAATAATGATAGCTCTTAAATTGCATAGAATTATTGTTAAAGGCACAGCGGGTGAATCGTTGACACCAGATTGCGTTTTCGATACATTCCGTTAAGGTCAAAGGAGATAGATAAAATGTTCGTAAAGAATTTGGTCATGGTGTCAGTATCATTCTTAAATCCCATATGCCAAGTAGAATTCATATTCACCTTTTCAAAGCACTGAATCGGGACGGAACTTGCCTCCCAGACCAAATTTTGAATTTTAAGTTGCCATCCACGCTCACCGTAAAAGGGTTCCATGCATAAATTTGTATAGCTTTTTATCAATTTTTATATCTTTTCTTTTCTTTACTAAGTAGTAATGGCCTAATAAAATTTAATTATTTATTAAGGTTAAAACTATGGTAAATACAAATTTTATCTTCCCTATCGCCCTCATTCTATTGTCTTATAATGATACAGGAACTTTACACCTTTATCTTACAGCATGTTCAAGAGTAAGATCAAGATAAACAACATAAAAATTTAAGAAACATGCGTACAAGTTACGGCCTTAATAATAAATTTTTTCATCACCGTTATTATTATTATAATTATTATTATTATTATTATTATTCATTTCTCATCATTTTATTTGAGATTAAAAGAGTCCTTTCTCTATGTCATTTCACATGCGGCGTACATTTCACCGACGCACAGGACAAGAAGACAAACCAAGAATGCTATTTGTTTATTCTGACACGACTTTGAGCTGATCCTTTAATCTGTTTTGGAATCATGTATATGATACGTCCTCGGTTCTTTGTTGGCGATAAATGTAATCTCTAGATTAACTCGGAATTTAATGAAACACACAGATACGGTTCGCCCTATTACGTAGCTTCTTTTTGAGGCCATGTCCGGTTCTTCAGGTATTCTTTTGAAGATGATTATTTTTGGTATCTTTAATTATGATTTCACACACAAGTTGACATCATATTCTTGGTAACAGTGGTATTTTCTGCCAGCTGAGATTCATTGGTGCACGCCAAAAAAAAAAAAAACTTTATTACCTCCGCCAAGGAGGTTATGATTTTGGTTCCGTTAGTTAGTTTGTCTGTCTATCTTTCTGTTTGTCTGTCTGTTAGCAACATTACAGAAAAAGTTATGGACCGATTTTGATGAAATTTTCAGAAACTGTCAGAAGTGGACCAAGAAACAGATGATTAGTTTTTGATGGTGATCAGGATCAATAAGCAATCAATAATCAATTATCAAAAAATGAAGTTATGGACGGATTTTGACGAAATTTTCTGGAACTGTCAGAAGTGGGCCAAGGAACAGATGATTAGATTTTGGTGGTGATCCGGATCATTTATCAATCAATAATCAAAAATAAAAAACTAAATCATTATAGAATGAAAATTTAGGTGTGAAACGGCATTGGGTGGAGACTTTGCTGCCTTGGCGGAGATCTGCGCTCTCTGAGTGCTTTGTTAGTTCGGAAATTAACCTCTCTCCCCTCAGAAACATATTCTCTACCAAAGACTAGGGAATGATCTGAACTCAGTTAACTGTCTGACAGAACGATTGAGTACCCCACTGCAGCTCCCAACGGGCCTAAATCAATCTCCTTTTTTATTGCCTTCTCTCAGCACATCAGTATTCAAGAACCCTTTAGCTTGTCATAGACTAATTAATAACTGTGCTCTTTTCTATAGCCGTAATTAACGAAACCGTTTGCAGTGCCGTCAAACTTTCACAAACCGGTGCACATTTTGTAGCTTACGCTACCCATTAATATCTCCCCATTTCTATGCTTTATATCAGTGAACAGGCCAACCTTTTGTTGCATTATCTAAATGTTTACGAATCTCCCCCGATAACGCAATATTGGAAGTTGTCCGGCAGTGGTCAATAAATATAGTGATGGTCAGTTTGCGTCCTGGCAACGTGGACACACCTAAAAGGACACCTCGCAAAGAAGCCAACTGAAGCCTACTGAAATTTATCTGTACCTTTTAAATTCAGGCTGAATTTTTTTTTTTAATGTGTGCTTGTGTGTGGTGACATTTAAGACTGCCTAAGTACATAGTGTAACCAGACGGCCTTCAGAAAGAAGTCGCGCATAGAGGGCGGACCTAACTGTAATGTGAACGCTATTTAAAAACCAAATCACAAATCATAATCGCTATATAAGTAGCTGAACTTGGTTAAAAACCAATACCTACAGTATGCCAGAGATGTTAGTGCAAGTAACCTTCTCCATACGTTGACATTATGATAACACGATTAACCTTGTTTGACCACGACTTAATTGCCAAGATGTTGTTGTAAATCATCGGTATTACCTTTGTGTTTAGTATTGGTGCGTTTTCTACTGCGTGTAATGCATCAGAGCACAAAGGTGAAAATAACAGGTCACAACATGACAATGTTTTACATTTTCACGGAAAATTTTCAATTGGGGGGAGGGGGGCGCTGTGTAATTTTTTTTTTTTTTTGTCCATTACGCTCAAAGTCACAGGGGGCATGGGACCTGTTTCACAAAATAACTAGAAAATTATAAGTAATGCATTTTAGACAAAGAACTTTAACTCAGCTTAATCATTTTTTGTGAAATGGGCCCCGGGTCCGACTAGGGGCGTGGCCGTGGTTATATATTGACGTGGCCTTATTTGGGTGTGGGCGTGGCGGGGGTTCCCCATGGGTCTAATAAGGGGTCCTCTGACCCTCCTCTGGAATCCAAGCGTTACTCATCTAACAGTCCTATATTGGCGCAAAAACAGCCGTGATTATGACCCACATATCCGTGGTGCATGTAGACAAGACCAGCTAGCAAAGGGACCCATAACAGGTTAATGTTGACCGCGTGTGAACGTTTACATAGCGTGTTGGCCGGGCGCTAAATTCTGTGTTTTAATGGATGGGGAACCATACGTTTAATGGCATCATTCCTGAATGTAAATGTGTCAAAATACGCGTGCGAAATTGATGTAAAACATCTCTGGTTATTTCCCTTTTTTAGCGTAGTAGTAAAATCGACAGCAGATGAATGTCACGCCGTCAATCGTCCCGTAAAATCTTACTCAATCAAACTCGTAAACGCTGACGCAAGCATATCGAATTTAGAATGCAAAGCGCACGTCAAAACGCAGTGCAATGTTTGTCCTTGCCATCTGAAACAATTGTTCCTTGCCAAATCGGTTTTAAATCGTCGCAATCTATCGTAATAATTTTTCTGTATTCTGTGATATTCTAACGACCCAGGCATGTTATACGTAATGGCGTGGGTTCCATTGAGTATCTAGGGGCTAATTTCAGAGTCCGTGCATTTCATGACGCGTTATGTATTTAAGATAATTATTTTCGCTTAGGAAACGACATCTGAAAGCGTGTGGGTTCAATGAAGAGCGATGTAGTGTAATTTAGATTTAATTATGAAATTTCACGAACGGCAGCAACAGCAGCAGAAAAGAGAGAGAGAGAGAGAGAGAGAAAGAGAGAAAGAGAAAGAGAGGGAAAGAGAGAGAGAACTATACATGGTTACCTACACTGTGTAACTTTTAAAGAATTGTTTCAAAAGTTGCTTTAAAATCTTATCACATTTCATGCACAGAGGTAACATATTCATGGGCCGGTCTCAATCTGCATACAGGCACCGCAATCATACTAATAAGCGCTTAAAACTGTTATTCATTTATTCGAAGGAGTCGATGAGGTCGTTAATTGAAGTGTAATTAAAAATCATGAAATAGTTCCAAAAGGTTACGTGCCAATAGATGAAATGTACCGGATAACTTATGCACTTTCTAAAATTGCCTTCTGAACGATCTGCTGAATTGATATTATTCAAAAAGCAAACCATGACACCCCGTTTATTATAAACTTTTCAGAGTGACCTAGAACAAATTATAAAACGGAGTAATGATAAAACAATGACATACAGCGCCAGATTTTTTCTCAGGAGTAACAGAGAAATTTCAATCCAAAATACTGACAGAGAGATGAGTAAAGCGTTTCCTTTAAAAAACTCTCTTTATTTGTCAGGCAATTTGGTTGCAGAAACGTATAACACTACATTGTTGAAGTCAAAATTTCCAGATTTTACTTGATAAGCTACTTTTTGATAAAATAGTGATTTGAATTTGCTGGTTGCAGGCCTGACATTTTGAGTATTCACTAGAAGTGTGATTATCTAATATAAACGAGGGCAGATAGACAACACTGGAGACAAACAGTTGTA